ATTTCTATGTAATAGATCTTTGCATCTTCCTGAAAACCTGATCATTCCATGGTTTCTTCTTCAGTGAGTGTGGGGGACGCAATGGTTTCTAGTGCCACTGGTCTCCACCTTTCCTCCACTGGTTCTGAACATTTGTAGTTAGCCTTTCTCTGTGTGTGACTTCTTAGATTAAACCTCTTAAACACCTAGCCATTGGAGATCTGCAGTCAAACCCAAAGCAAACAGTAACAATTCGAGAACAATTTAAACAGGGGCCATTGGCTTTGGTATAAAAATCTGGACATGCTTCCTGACATTTCCCCCAATGTTATATTTCTATCAGTCACATGCAGGGCTAACAAGAGAACAGATGCTCTGTGCCAGGCTCTACTCCAGCTGCTTTATATCTGTTAACCACTTACTCTTTACACCAGGTCTTGGAGGGTGGTACTATTTTCATACTGACTTTATGCAATCAAAGAGACACAGCTTCACTTACTTCCTATTCCTGTGTTCAGTTCCTGGATCAGGGTCCAGCTAACTTTTTCTGTACTAGGCCATTTGTAAATATTTCAGGTTTTGCAGGACCTAGGGGGCCTGTTGTCACTACTCCATTTTGCCATTGTAGCATGACAGCACCCTTAGACAGTCTGCAAATGAATGGGCATGGCTGTGTTCCGATAAAACCTTATTGACACTGCAATTTGAATGTCATATAATTTTCATGGGTCATGAGAGGCTCTTCTGCATTTGTGTTAAACCACTGAAAAGTGATAAACCATCTTAGCTCAAGGGCTGTACACAGCGAAGTGGCAGTCAGGCTTTGCCTGCAGATGCAGGCTTTGGTTTGGGGATCTCTGACCTAGGAGAAAATGGAGACATCACAGCTCTCTAATCAGGTGTAAATACCAGTTGTCTGAGGTGGATCGCCTCATCATTGATAAATTGCAATGTTTAGATTATGAGAAGGGCTTTCTATAAGACCCGATGTTGAAATGCTCTGCCATGGCATCCAGGAGCACAGGCAGGTGGCTCCTGACCACGTCTGACTGGTAGTGAGGGTGGTGCAGGCACTGAGAAGTATCAGGAACCGGGCAGACTTGCACTTGCGCGTGGCTTCTGCACATAGGAGCAGAGCAGCCTTGAGCAAGTTACTTTTGCTCTTTGAGTGTCAACATCTACATCTATAAAATGGGAATAAGAATTCTTCCTTTATAAATAGTAAGTGAAAAAAGATGTATTGCTTGGTAATAGAAACAATTATATATTTCTTGGAAGAGTAGGATTTAGTAAAAAATAGCTGTGCATGTATATTATATTCTTGACCAATTTTGTTTAGTTCAGTGGTGCTTATAGATTGTATTATATTTCATCCAATAATTCTTTTATTTAAAAGCCAATTGTTTCTTTTAATCATTGTAAAATATATAATGTATAAAAGACTATGTAAAATAGTATACATAATATATGTATAATTTAAAGAATAGTTGAAAAACCACCCAGGACCCCCAGCTCTGCTCATGAATTGGAATGTTACCAGATGCTTTGAAGTCTCTTCTGTGCCCCGCCCCCACACCCCCACCCAGAGCACCTTCCTCCCTTTTCTACAGTATTCTGAATTTTGGGTTATTCATTCTCTTCTTTTGCTTTTATAAATGTACTTCATATATATCACTAAGTAATGCATTGCTTTGTTTTTGCCTACTTTTGATCATATAAATGGAATCATACTCTATTCTTATATCTCACTTTTTCTCATCAACATATTTTTGTGATTCTTCCACATTGATGCAATAGCTATAATTTAGGCCTTCATTTTTTCTTCTGTATAACTAATTTTCCATCATGTGAATAAATCATATTTTATACATCTATTCTCCTGGTAATAGACATTTAGGTTGTTTCTTTTTTTTTTTTTTTTTTTTCTATTACAAAGCTGAATGGGTTCTTGAATATTCTCATGGGTATCAACAGAGGTATGGAATTTGCTGGGGCATAGAGTTTGTACAACTTCAGCTCTTTTAGGAAGTGGTAGCTTGTTTGCTAGGGTTGCCCCAGCCTACATTCACCAGCAACTACTGAAATAAATATGCTCCCTTTATATATCAGTGAACTTTCAGAATACAAAGACTAAAGAGAAAATCCTGAAGGGCTTTAGAAAGACTTTATCTTTCTAAAGCAGGATCTTGAGTTAATTCCTCAGAAATATATCTGTAAAGGATGAATTTAAAAATTCTTCTATTAAAAGTTAAAAGGTAGTATAGGTGGCTACCTTCCCTTCCTTTCCCAAGTCCCTATGGATAATAGAAAAAGTATTAGACAGTGGATACAGGAAAGAATACCATTTTTGGATCAGAAGTCCTGAGGTAGCTCTGGAAGACAGGAAACAGGAAATCCAGGGCAAACACACACATAGAAGGAGAGGAGTGGTTCTGGGTGCTTCAGGCAGCAGGCACACAGGTTGGCCATCATGGTGAGTGGGCAACTGCCTTTGGAGCAGTCGGGCAGCTTTGACCCCTTCCTCTGCTTCCAGGCTTGATCTGGGGGTACCCTGTGTGTGGAAAAGACCTAGAAGGGACCAGAACTTTCAGCCTTAAATCATATTACTGACACACACTTCATACATGGCACATCCCATCCTTCCCTACAACCTTTGGAGGCTGCTGCATTCAATGCATAGATCAGATATATAGGTGACTGTCCAACCAAGAATCACCAAACACTTAAGGGAACATCAATTCAATGAATGAGAAACTCTGACTTAGCAAACCAAAAGCACCATTACCAAGAAAGCAGCATTAATGGAGCAAACAAGGTTGAACTTTAAAAGTAGGTGTAAGAGAAGTAAGAAGAGTTTCTTTTTCATAAAATAAGAACAAGCAACTATTTCAAGAGTCAAATATAGGCATACCTTGGAGGTATTCCGGGTTTGGTTCCAGATCACTGCAAGTGAGTAATAGCAAGTCACATAAATTTTTTGGTTTCCCAGTGCATATCAAAATTATGTTTACACTGTACTATAGTCTATTAAGTGTGAAATAGTATTGTGTCTCAAAAATGCACATACTTAATTAAAAATATTACTAAAAAATGCTGGTGGGGAGGTGATGACCACTGGCTGGCTGATCAGGGTGGTGGTGGCTGAAGGTTAGGGTGGCCGTGGCAATTCCTTAAAATAGCAGCGAAGTTTGCTGCATCAACGGATTCTTTCACTTGGATTTTAGAGGCCATCGTAGGGTTATTAATTAGTTTAATTTCAATATTTTTGTGTCTCAGGGAATAGGGAAGCCTGAAGAGAGGGAGAGAGACGGGAATATCCAGAACACACATATTTATTAAGTTCGCCTTCTTATATGGGTGCAGTTCATGGTGCCACAAAACAATTAAAATGGTAACATCAAAGATCACTTATCACAGATCACTGTAGCCAGTACAATAATAATGAAAAAGTTTGAAATATTGCAAGAATTACCAAAATGTGACACAGAGGCACAAAGTGAGCAAATACTATCGGACAAAGGGTGCCCGTAGACTTGCTCAGTGCGGGGTTCCCCAAAACCTTCAATTTGTGAAAGAAAAACAAAAAAACCCCAATCCCCCGAACCCCCCACCCCTGCAGTATCTGTGAAGTGCAATAAAGTGAATCACAATAAATTGAGATGTGTCTCTAGTTGTTACATTGAAAATGAAATATTTAATTGATATTTAAAAACTCATAAATGGGATGAAAAGCAGGATACACACACATGAAGAATAAATTAGCAAACTGGAAGGATGAATTAAGAAATAATTCAGAACGTAGTACAAAAAGAAAGAGACTTAAAGGAAGAAACAAAGGTTAAAAGACATGAAGGATCAACTTAGGATATCGACCTGCTAGGGCCTCTCAAAGGAGAAAAGAGAGAGAAAGAGCGATTGGGAGTAAAGAAGGAAGTTGAGAAGGGAAGAAAAGAATCAAAGAAATGGCCAAAGAAAGGTATGAGTTGTTGAATTAAAACTGCCCCCACAGCACTGGTCATGATGAATAAGTGAAGATGCTCCTTAGACTTATCACAGTGAAATTTCAGTGTATCTGGGCTAGAGAGAACATCTCCAAAGGCTTTAGCCAGAGGGGAAATGGGACACTGTTTTGATGGAGAGGCATGATGATGACTCTTAGGGGTCTTGAGGAGGTAGTGGAGGAAATCTCTCTCTGGGGAGAAGCTTAGGTGGAAATAGGCTTAATATTGCAATATAGTTTTACCTTTGAAAATAAAAGTGAATTCCTGCTGTTTCCTTAGCAAACTCTTCTTGGTGGTCAGGGTTATATATTTGCCCTTGGGGAGCAGTTCAGATTCTCTAGACTACCTTGGGATGTTAATGTCAGCCAAAGTGGAGTCTTTGAAATGCTGCATAGTCCTGGTTTGGAAGTTAGCCCCCAAAGGGCTTTTCACAGCCATCTGTGTTTGTAGTCCTCTCCCCGTCTTGAGGCCAAGACCTTGTTTACCACCCAGGAGGATGGTGCTAAGACTTGTGGCTGAGATTTCCTTTCAAAATCCAGGGCTTTCCAGTGGAATGGTCCGCAGTTCGTTCTTACCTGGAGGGCTCTCTTCAGGCTTGTTGATGGGGCGACAGGATTGCCCACCTCCTTCCCTCCCCGAGCAAGAAGGAATGCCATTTATCCTGCATAATATTTAAAATAAGTTGGAAAGAACAGATGCTGAGTTTTATTTCACAGGAAGATTACGTTTCCAAGGGCCATTGGTAACTCGATAACCTTGATTAAGTGTACGGGTCGCTGGAGTCCCCGAGTACTTGAGGGTTTATTATGGAACGAACACTCAGCCGGGGAGCAGGAGCTCGGATTCCTTGGCAAAGGGCCCCTCGTGGTGAAGCATAATGATCAGTCTTAGTGATTACTATGTGTGCAGGGGTTTCTCTCTTTATTTAGTTTAGGATATCACATTTTATTGAATGAAGGGACTCCATGTCTCTTTTATTCTTCATATTAACTCTCTCCCTTTTCTTGTGTGATGTTATAGAGGCCAGAGCCCTCCGGTTGCTGAGTTTAACTTACTCCTGAAAGCTCACACTTTGGAAACCTATGGGGTGGACCCCCACCCATGCAAGGTAATTGCTTCTCACAGCAGGTCGACATTTAAGGATTGTTTTGCCCCAAAAGAGTTCATTGCTGTGTATGCCTGGCAGACCCCTCCTAGGATATTTCCACAGCCTGCCCCACCGCTCCTCATTAGAAGGGACAACAATGGGCTGCAGTCTCACGTTTTGGTAGTTGGTTCTCTCCATTGGAGTCAACCAATTGCTTGCTAATTGCTATGTAATAGCCGCATATTCCTAAATTAACATACATGGATTCATTTATCCATCAGGGATGGTTTTATCCCCGAGAAGTTACAGGGTCCTAACATTTATTTTCAAGGCCATTGCTGGCAAGCATGCAGTCTGAAAAGATGGGAAAGTGAAAGAAAAGAAAGATTTAAAATTATTTTTTGACATTAGGAGTACTTGTTTTCCTTTTTTCTTTACTCGCATTATTTTGACAGTGTTTCTCTCAAGCATGAAACCTGGCCATTTATATCAGAACCACCTGGGCCCCACCCCAGAACACCGATTCAGAATCACCAGGGATGCATCTGGCAGGTCTGCCTTTTACACAGGTTCAAAAGGCATGCACACAGGTTCAAAATATTCATGCACACATTTTCCAGAACTGTTTTATGAAAAGTTTTCTCCTTTTCATGTCTTAAACTAACTATGCATCAACGAGGCACTCACCTGTATCCTGAGCTAAGCATTTATATCAGTTGGTCTTTTAAAGTTAGTTCTTGAGTCATACCAGAACGTTTCTTTACCCAGGTGGGAACAGGTAGTTGTATTTGGTCAAGTGCCAGTCTTACAGCTCTCAGCTTAGGCTCCTCACTACACGCAAGTGGGGAGCTTCCTAAACTCCTGCTGTCCTGTTCCATTAGGGTCTTTTGGAAAGCAGACCACATGCTCCAAATGATTCCAACGTGTACACAAGGCTGAGAGCCGGTGGTAGTTGTCCATACTGGTGCATGCATCTTGCGGTCTGCCCAAACACTTATTTTAGAATATTTGCCAGATGCCTCTTCCTAGTCATGGTATAAATAAAATTAGTCCATTTAATGAATTAGATTTTATCTGCAAATCTGAGCCTCTCTGTTTATTTATTACTTGGAGACTGACTAGATTTTTATTGTTGTTCCTCTGCCTTTACTTATTAATGAAATGCTTAGTTTTCTGGGTCGAGGTTGGAAGCAAAGTAGGCATTCCTGGACATATCTTTACATTACAATTGCCAGGAATCCTATGTGGGATTGAATCAAGCTACAATAGATGCTTAGGGTGTTGGTTGCATAGCATTTTGGTCGCAGGGTTAACGACAACCAGGAATGGTTTGTCCACATTACAGGGCAGATATGAGGACTCAGGTGGCCCCAGAAGACATTTGGAAGTTGGCACAATGGTTTATGACTAATCTGGACTTTCCCAGGAGATTCTTGGAAAGGAGAAGTTCTGTACTCAGAGGGAAAGCTACATGTTCCTGGACCTTGCCTGGACTTTGGAACTTCTATCCTTAGAGGTCCCATCTCAGAAATTTAGTTTATTGCTGCAATCATTAGAATTAACCTGAAATTAACCCAGGGTGAGGATGAATAAGCATACCCCTTACTATTTACTTTATATTCCTCAATCCAAATATGTTTTTATTTTATTTTATTTTTCAGGATTCAACAGGCACAACAACGTTTTTGGGATTCACTGCTGCAGGCTTTGTGGTATTCCAGGGAAATAAGAGAATCCATTTGATAAAGTGGTGAGTCCTTCTTTTTTTTTTCTTTTTTTTAAACTGGCTTACCATTTTTCTTAATCTTGTTCTTTTTTCCCCACCTTTGGCTTTTTTTTTTTTTTTTTGAGATATCAAATAGGATGCCTGGTATTCATTTCTTTGGAACTTCATTATAAAGGGATCTATTATCTATAAATGAAACCCGATCTAGGTTGCCCTCTCTTAAGAGGGAATCAGATTTGTAGAGCTGAGAGGTGAACTCAGGAGACCTAGGGTGTGTCCAGAGCTCAGAGGCTCTGCTTCCAAAAGAGAAGGTGTCTAGTGCTTTCTCACCAGTAGCTTCTGCTGTCACCAGAGGGTGACCGGGATGCGGGGGTGGGGATGGTGGTCAAGGAAGGTAAAGGTGCCTGTTTCCTTGAGCAACAGGACCCAGTCCCTCCCATTCACTTCAGTCTATTCTGTTGAACCCTTGCTGCAGACTTATTTTTTGTAATCCAGCATATCAGTGAAGATGCTTTTGGTCAAAGTAACAGTAATGTCTGCTCACAGTGCCTTACCAGTGAGAGGGCTGATCATCTCACACAGCAGAAGTTACAGAGCTCAGACAGTTCCATGATCCTTTAACTGAACTGTCCAACAACACTGTGTAGGATGTGCATCTCTCTGTTTTCTTTTTTGCCATTATAGGGTGGTCTGTCCCCAGGCTCATAAAATGGCATGGTCATGTTGCAACTCTGGCTTTTACATCTTCACACAGCAACACCCAGAGCCTGGAAGAGAGCAGCCCTTCCATGTGTCTGCTATTAAAGCAAGTGTAACCTTTTCTGGAGCCATGTGGGAGACTTCCTATGTATCCGGTTGGGCAGGATGGGGTCACAAGTGCCTCCTTAAAGCAACCCTTCTGAGAATAATGGGAACTCCTGACTGGGTGGTGGATTCAAGATTCACCCTCTTGGGATTGGAAAGAACATGATCTGTATAAATACATGACCCTGAGGAGAAATAAAGCCTAGATTTCATCAGTAAAGAAGAGGGAGGATGGTGACCTGCAGTGCCCACTCTGTGCAATCAAGGAGCAACATGATTATGTAAAGAGAGAAGAAGGCTGAACATTGTATGTGTGATGGGATGTTGGAAAGGCGTAGTCTTGTTCCTCCCTTCAGCTGACTCACTTCCCTCTCTGAGAGTCCCTGGCAGGTTTGTCAGCCCTGGTGTGTCTCACCGAGTCGGGGATTCACTCCTTTGGCTTATGTGCTTGAATCTGATGTTCTTCTCAATAGGCCAGTAGGCATCCATCTTCATTCCTGAGCTAGAAATGCTCTCTTGGCACTTACCTGAGCCTAAGTTGAATGGTTCTATAGGTTCAGGGTTTCTTTTAGCACCTCATTATCAAGGAGCTCTCCCTACCTTCTTAGCATTCTCCTCTTAGCTCTCTTCCTTTCAAACCTTCTTCACTAGATTAGCATTAGTCAGCTAATGTCCACTCATCTCCCGCCACCTTCTGGTCTTTTTCATGATCAGCCCTCTCTTTCTAAGGTGCCCAGTTTCTCTAAATATCTTTTTTGACCTACCTGTAATTGCCTTTCAACTCCATTCCAGAATACATTCCCTGCTGACTTTGGGGAGCATGGGTTATTTGAGGACTTCTTCCATCCCACCCTGGGGCTATAAAAGGCTTTGGGGTCCTGAAAAGTGATCGATCCTCAGGTTTTGAATTGCTTGAGTTAGGTTAGAACTGGACACAGCTCAAGTGCAGACTAATTGCAAGTCTCTCCCCTCCTTGGACCTCGCTTTCTTCCCTGGGTACAGTGAAGAGCTGGGAAGGACAATCTGACCGTTTGTTTCTATGTTCTACATCTTGGTGTTCGTGCTGGGCCACAGAGGCCAACTCCAATCTTCCCAGCCTCTGATTAGGCACATGCATTTCTCATAGTCATGTATTGTTGCTAAAACAAATTATCTTCTCACATTAGTCCTTGGGTTTTTTTGTTTTTGTTTGTTTTTTAATCATCCATTGCACTTTGTCTTTGTTGCAAATCCTCTACCTAAATTAAGACAACTTAATGCATCTGCACTATTCTTTATTTCCTAGGAAAAGCACAGGGGCACACATCATCACTATCTGAGGAATTAGACCAAAGGAATAAAAATAGAATTCTCCCCTTCACACATATTTTCTCACCAAGAAGGTGACTTCGTGTCTGCATTTCAGACAGATTTTAATCAAGCAGCTTCTTAAGATGTCCATTCATCAAGCTGTCCTCACAATTCGGAGCATCTCAATATATAATGAAATATTCTATGAACAGGGAGAGCAGGAATGAAATTTCACAGTGTGATGTGTGTGCTTCTTGGAGATGAGTGTGAAAGGATGGGAGAACAGATGTTGTGAATCCATGTCATTTCACTAACTGAATCTGAAACCACCACATTCTCCCTGGGCTGGCCAATTCTTGTTTTGGTTGTTAAGGTTCACGAGACCTCTACTGCTCCTTAAAAGAAAGGTACAGCTTAAATGTAAAAAAGTGGACTAAATAGTTGGGCTGCCTGTGGATCCTCTCTTGGGAAGAAAGTTGCTGTGTAATTCACTCGGGGGCTTTTCACTGCTCACTTGGCCTTCCCTGATGATAAGATGGTATCTTGTTTCAGCACAGCCTGCTTGGCATTGGTGAGTCAGCCTCATTCCTGTGGGAAAGCCAGGTACCTTGTTTAGTTGCCACTTGCTTTTTCCTCTCACCCAAAGGTATTTTTTTTTCCTTAGGCCAGATGTCTGCAAATTGAAGTTTGAAGGGAAGACATTTTATGTGATTGGTACCCAGAAAGAGGTCAGATACTGTTTTTCTAACTCCCTGTCATTGTGTGTGTGAGTGCGTGTGTACATGTGTGCCTATGAGAGAGATTTAAGCATAAAATATGCATTTAGCCTTGTAGGCCTAAGAGACCATGACCTTAAAGTTTGCAGTGATAATGGAAGCTATATGATTGAGAATATTTGAAAGGTAAGCAAGTAAACACTGGGCTTGCACATTTAAGTGTAAAGTTAGTGAACAATGCTGAGGGAATACCCCTGTGTAAAAAATAGACTGGGATAGGTTGGAGATTTAGCAAATGGGACTTCCCCTACCTCTGTAATTTACCAAAATACAGATTTAGGAACATGCAAAGAATACTTACCAAGCTAGATACCAACCAGTGGTGGGTAGAGTTTTATAAACAGAATTTATAAGAACCAAAAATCTTCAAATAAAGGAGTTACCAAATATAGGTTGGGTTCACCAGTGAACACATTTGGGAGGAAGGCTGAAACTTAGAACCTCAGAGCTAGGCCTGGAAGTCTGCACAATCTCCTGACCCCAGTTTTCAGTTCAACATTGGCAAGAAAGTTTTTAAAGTAACCCAAGTATGACTGAGATGAGGCAATACCTGCAGAGTTGATCGTGAGGCTACTTTTCTTTCCTTCTTTTTTTCTTTTTTTATCAGAGAGAGGGCCTAGGTAGATTAGTGTAGTGATATCTGCAAAGGGTGAGGTGGGTCGGTGGGTATGGGGGAATACAATTTTAAAAACCCTTTTAAGAACATAGTAATACACAAGTTACTTCAAATCTGTTTGGTAGGTGGCAGGATACAAATAGGTAGATATGTGAAGGAAAAACATGAAAAGCATCAACTCTGTTTAACATGCCCTTTTTTGTTTTGTTATTTTTTATTAGAAAAAAGCCATGTTGGCATTTCATACTTCAACACCAGCTGCCTGCAAACATCTCTGGAAATGTGGGGTGGAGAACCAGGCCTTTTATAAGTAAGTAGCTTTTATTTATTTAATCATAGGTTTTTGAGAACACCCATGGAACCCTTTTATGTTTAGCAGACAGCTCCATGTTCATTTTTTAAATAGTCCTTTTTATTCTTTAAAATAAATTATGAATTTGGTGCTTTGTTCAGAGTGACTCCCTACTACTGTTGGGTCAAGCAAGTCCTGAGCTCCCTGCTGGGTGTTTCCCATGGAATTGCTGTGTGTGTGTGTGTGTGTGTGTGTGTGTGTGTGTGTGTGTGTTGTCATTGCTATTTCCAGTCAACATGTCACAGGATCTGTATTTGGTTGGCTGCCCTCCTCGGAAGCAGACCTTGAGAAGAGTTTAGTGCAAGTGGTTTCTTTGGGAGGTGATCACTGAACATACCAATTGGGGAGTGGGGGAGGGAGACAGGGAAAGGAGCTGTGTAGGGGGCGCTATTGAGCAGGTCCCAGCTACTGTGGGCAGCTGGGCTCTGCTCTGCAGAGGAGCTCTGGTGGATGGCAGAATGTGCCTCAGAGTTTACCCACTTACTGGCAAAGAGGCTGGGCTGTTTATCTACCAATTCTTCATTTGTTTTGGTTGAGGGCCACTTTGGAGGTGGAGTTGATACTTTCTGGCACTTATGGCCTACCCTGGCTTGGGTTGAATGTATACTCACAACCAAAAAAAGAAACCTGTGGCCGAGAGCCACACGTGTTCATAGTAAGAGGCCTTCAGTATACAGAGATGAGAACCAAAGTTTTATGGGTGGAATGCCATCAGAGCCTAGGATGGTAGAAAGTCAGTGCTGGCTGGACAGGGCTTCAGAAACCATGCATAAAGCTGTCGGGTTTCCACAGAAGTTCAAATTTAGGATCTTTTTGCTGAGTTCCAGCATCTCCTCTTTGAGATGCACTTGATAATTGAAAGAGCAGTGGTGGTGGTGATGATGGACACGGTCAAGAACCTAGTCCAGCCTTCAGGGTATCAGCATTGCCAACCCCTGGAGCTCATCCAGGTAGATTTTTCTCAGTCTCTGTTCCCCCAAATCCCACAAGATTCTGTCTTACTCACTAGACTCCACTTCCCTGAAAATGTGAGTCTCTGCACTCCTGGGCTTTGGCTGATGAAAACCTTTAGGAGAATGATGTCTTAGATAATGATTTATAAACCCCTTCAGCCACAGAACTATTTTCCTTAAACAGAAGTGTAAGCAAAGCCCATGTAAAAAAAAAATTAGAGAAGCCTGTGGTTGTTGGTGGGGACCACAGTTGGGCCTGGGGACAGGAGACTGTTCATCCATTTCTTCAGGAGCGTGGGTGACCAGTTGTCCCAGTTTGCCAGGGACTTTCCCAGGTTTAGCACTGAGAGTCCATGTCCCAGGAAACCAGTCAACCCTGGGTACATTTTATCAGGAGCAGAATTTGAAAACCCTTGGATGAGATGATCCACAAAATGTGGGGCTTCTAGCAATGACAGGAAATGATGATGCTTATCAGTAGATTTTTCCCATAGTTGGTGCCACCTCAAGGCATCCATGTGTCCCCCGTGGTGTTTGGGGACTGGTAAAAAAGGGTACCCAATGGATTTTGAAAAATCAGCATGTCTAGACCTCTGTCTCTGTGAGAACTCAGAAGGGGAAATACAAAGGGATTGATCTTCTCAGTCTTTAGTTGGAGTCTGCATACTTTTTTTGGTTTTGTTTTTAAAAAATTATTTTAAAATTGAAGTATATGTGCACCCCTTTAAAGTATAATTCAATGGTTTTTAGTTTAATTCATGAAGTCATGCAACTATCAATTTGGTTTGATATGGTTTATCAATGGTTTTTAGTTTAATTCATGAAGTCATGCTACTGTCAATTTCCAGAACACTTTTATGAACCCCAAAAGAAGCGACTCACCACAGTCGCTCCATCTCCCTCTCTCCCCAGACCTTGACAGCTACTAATTTACTCTCTGTGTGTATGGACTTACCTGTTCTTCATGTTTCCTATGAAATCATACACTTATCTAGTCTGTTGTATGTGACTTCTTTCACTTAGGTAAAATTTTCAAGGCTTATCCATGTTATAGCATGTGTCAGCACTTCATTGCTTATGGCTGAATAATATTCCATTGTTTAGCTATACCACATTTTGTTTATTCATTCATCAGTTGATGGACATTTGGGTTCCTTTTTTTAAGCATTATGAATAATGCAGCTATGAGTATCCATATAATTTTTTTCTTTGGACAGTTCCCTTAGGTTTTTTCCTAGGAGTATAATTTCTTGATCATAGGGTAACTCTACATTTAACTTTTTGAGAAACTGATAAACTTTTTTGGACCCTAAGCTTTTGGAACTCTTCTGTTACTCTCTTAATAAAATCATCTGGTTCCTGTCAAATAATAACTGAGAAACATTTAATTATTTTGAGTGACTATTGTCTTGCAAATAAGGGAGTTAGTAGATAGAGTCTTGAAACAAAGCCAAAACAAGATATAGCATGACATTCTTTTATTGTAGGTTTTTATATCTATATTAGATCTGATCTCTCTGAGGGTAGGAACTAGGTTCTATTTATCTTTGTATTTCCTAAAGACCCCAGGCATTTGAAAAAGAATGACTAGATCAAATTGATAAGGCATGGTTCCTGTGCCAGGAGATTTGTAGTTCTTGATAGAAACTAAAAGGGAACTGCAAATAAAATACTAAAGAAGTGTCCAGGGGAGGGGACGAGTCTTACTATAGGGAGAGCTGGGAGGTAGAAGGAAGGCTCTTTCAGGTGGAGGAAGGACATTCTGAGTAAGGGACCAGTGTGGGACATGGAAGACATACATTGAGAAGATGAAAAGTTATACAAAGCTGGAGCAGAGGGTAGGTGAATGAAATAGGTAGGGAGATGGTGTGGGGTCAGATACAGAGGGCTGAGCCACCATTATAAAGATGGCAGAGGAACACTAGGTGGGGCTGATTGCTACTGATCCACAGACATGCATAAGGGGTGGGTAGCAGAGGAGAAGACCCAACACCCGGGCTTTTAGAGCCAGCTCACTAAGTCCTACTTGGAAGCAGCACAAAATTGAAGATCCTTTAGTGCAATCATGGGATTTCTATCAAGGAATAGCTCAGGACATTAATTAGTTCTTTTGCACTCAGGCTGTTTATTGTGTGTGAGGGTGTCAGTTGGTAGATGGAGTCAAAGGCAAAAATAGAACTGAACAGAGGGAGAGAAAGGAGAGAAGAAACGACAATCTGAGGAATCTGTTTTGCACATTTTGGGGTAGAGTCATTAGTTGGCAGCTAGCAATGAGGTCAGTATGATGATTATGTCATTGAATGGGTCAACTAGGCATATTGGAGAAATCACTGCCAGTCATCTGTGAATGCTTCAGGGGACCCGGGCATTTAGCTGTGAGCACAGTGGCATAGCACCCAGGTGACCAAGTCTTTGCATCAGCACCTCTCTTGCTAGGACTACTAATCCTAATATGTCTACTGATCCTGAGATGTTCCAGAACATTTTGTTTCTCCAGTATCCCATAACCATCCCTGGTCCTTAGGAAGAAGAAAAGATACTGCTTTTTCTGAGCCAGTTTTGTGATCTTGGACAAGTCTTTGGCCCCAGCCTTCTCAACAGCCTTCTCAGCCTTCTGAACTGGAGGGGGCTGGTACTCAGGCAGGCTTTGCTTGTCTCACCACGGCCTGGTGTTAATGAGTATGGGCTTTGGAAGTGAGCAGGCTTGGGTCTGAACCTTGACTCTGTCGCTTCCTAGCAGTGTAGCCTGGAACAAAGAATTTGCAGTTTTTGAGTTTCACCTTTGTTTTTTCATCTGTAAAATGTGATTGGCAACACCTGCCTTGCAGTGTGTAGGTCTGCCAGGCACATGGACCATTGATAAATAGTAGTTGTTGCTGGGACTGCCACGACTACCCCCTTCTCTGATTATGAAAGTTTTTTTGAGTGCCCCTTGGTTGCAGAGCCGAGCACATTCGACTGTGAAAGGTCTGATTCTGTTAGCCTCAGGGTGGGAGCCTGCTTCCCCGCTGGCACCATCGCTTTCCCAGGCAGAGGTCCCAGCCCTGCTTCTAGGCCTGTCTGACTGGCACTGCGCTTTAACCATCTTGGCTGGCAGAGCAAGGCCCTGATCTTTTTTCCTGGGTTGGGGATGCTTTGTCCCTCCTTTCCACTTCACCTGCCATGGGAACCAGGAGACATGGTGGGTAAGAATTCCCAAGTGCACTTTCAACTTGTGAATGTGCTGCTGGTTGTCAGCTGGCCCAGGGCCACTGATCAGGTTTGATAGGCCTGGCTCTGAGCTCTGCTGCCTGGGAACAGAGCCTGGAAGCAGAAACTCTGATATTTCCCTCTTGCTCCAAGCCCCATGGGATCCCTGACACGGTCCAAGTCACCATTTCAGAGCTCCCTTTGTGCCATATGTTTTCTAGGTGCTGTACACCCAGAGCCGCAGGGCTCACCAATCCTGGGTGCTGGTCCCCTGAAAGCACACTGGACTCACAGAAGGGCTCTTTGGTGACTGGTGTTTCCATGTGACAACTCTTTATCCCACACCTGCTTGTGCTGGGCACTGTGTTGGGAACTGGGGACACGGTGGAGGCTCAAATGAGACTCTCTGTCCCCAGTTTTGCTTGGCATATGTGCAGGGGATAAAGGTGGTCCTCAATAAGTTCTCTGCCCAGAGTTTGGTGTGCATTTTGTCAGAGGAACAACATTATACTTGGTACACAGGGACCCCCAGTAGCTCCTGGAACCTGTGCCTCTCCCACTTGAACGAGCACATGTGTCACCTGGATGTCCTGCTGGACTCGGACCCCTGACTCAGAAGGTCTGGGTGGGGCACAGGGACCTGTATTTCTAGTCAGTTCCCTGGTGTTGCTGGGCTGAAGGTCCATGGAGCACACTTTGAGTGCTAAGGTTCTAGGCCAGAGGTTCTCAGCCCTGACTGCACATTAGAATCACCTGAGGGAGCTTCTGAACAATACCTACGCTGGGGACCCCCCCACCCCCAGACCCAGTGAAATC